ACAATGGATTCCACGCATTTTCTGCGAGCGAACTTATCGCACTCGAAGTAATAACGTTGCCTTTTATCGCTCACACCGGCGGTGACTGCACGTTTGCGGACACGCGGAAAAATCGTTAAAAGGTCGTTAAGCACGAATTACAGTTTTGTTCGAGCTAGTCAGCCACTGAAAATCGCGTTTTGTTTCGCGATGGAATAGATCTTTTTAGCTCGGGAATGTAGTAAACCCGATCACCAACGACGCAAAAAGATAAAATATAATTCGTGTGTGGAGTTTACTCGTTATTTATTTATTTATTTTTTTTTTCGTGCTTCGAGGCGAGATTCAACATGAGTAAGATTGCGCAATAGATGTTATAAAAAAATTATAAAAATTTTTAGCCATTATTTTATTAAACGCGATGTGTATCGATTATTTAAAATATCGCGTATCGTTATATTTTTAGATGAACGAACAAAGTCTAAAATTCTCTCTTTAAATGACTTTTAATGCTTTCGATTGATAGTTAATAGTAATATCCAATCTTTTCGCAACGTATGATTACACGTATTCTGTTGCATTTACGCGCGTTGGGAATTTTCAACAAACTCGTGCTCGAACTTCGCGTTTCCTGAGCTATAATAATAATAAACGTGCGCCACTCGTGGAACCGCTGAAATAAACTCGTGTGTGCCCGTTGCAAGAGCACATGCACTGCCATTTTTAAAAGCATCTCAAATGCAGATTTCGATGCACGACAAACCGCGGAGCATGCTGTGCATGCATGTCTCGCCCACTTTATGTTTTATTTTCGAATCGAGACGTGAACGACGGCGCGTATCACACGCACACGCGCGCGCGCGCACGTAGCGTGACACTTGCAATCTCGATCACTCGCGGAAATACCCGGTTCCGAGTTAATCTGCCGAGAGCGTAGGCGATACTCGTGGAAAAGTGTCGATTTGTAATTTGCAACGTTATTTTACCGAACCGGTTCCGCACAATGTCCGAATATTCAACAAATTCAGATATTCGTGTGCGCGGAATTATAACACTTGAATCCACGACTGAGTCGCGAGGGGAAACACGAAAGAGGAAATTAGATTAATATTTATTTATATTTTGCCTCTCATCGTACTTTCAATAATTTGCAATGTATATATTTCTGGTTTATATACAATTCGCCGGTGGTGATAAGTGACATTACAGATAAACAAGAACGACATTGTTTTTGCTACATATATTTCTTTTTTAATTATCCATATTTTTTAAAAGTGAAATATTCAGCGATTATAAAATAAATCCCAATAAACATTTCTGCTTTCTTTGAGCTTTGGAGAAGCGCGGAATATCGCTGTAAACGCAACAAAATGCTGAAAGCTTTCTATTACGGTCGCGCGGTACTTAAATCCCTCAAAAGTGCCGCCACGTTTCTAATGCACCCCTTTTCTCCCCTATAAATAACTCAGGGTCGACGAAATGCGTTTTCGGTTAGCTTTTACGTCATCATAAACCGAACGGGAAGTAGCGCTGAGGAAACACGTAGCTACCAAAGTCCCGCCGGCGCTTTCAGGCTCCGACACAAGAAAACGCATAAGCCGCGAAGGAGACATGACGATTTGTCCTCCGCTCGGAGGAGAAAGCTCAGAGATAGCAACCTGAATATTACAGACGGCTACTTTATCTTCGCATCAGGAAACGGGGGCTTTTACAAGCGCGTCAACGCAAGTACCGATATTACGGGCGCTTTCACGATGAAGCAAGGTAAAGAAAAAAAAAAAGAAAAGGAGAGAAAAGAATGGTCGGCGCTGCCGCAAAAGGAATTCTGTCAGCGCTGACATCTTGTTTATGCTCGTTTGAGAATCGTCGAAATTCATTCCGCCTCACCTCCGATTTTATTCCCC